CTGCTCAGGAGGGAGGCATCTGGCTAAGAGCGGCACTGTGTGTCTATAGAATAGACTAAAGTGTGTTCCTAATCTGTTTGCTTTGAGAACAAACATTTTCCCTGAAGTTAAGTCTGTGTGGCTAGAGGTGCAGTGTGGGCATGGGAAGTGGGGCACCATGCCTGGTCATGTCCATCAGAAACCCTGCCCTTTAAGGAAGCCTGGCGTTCTGGCGGGCCAGTCACTCTTTAGCCCATCCTTGTGTCCTCCCTTCACCCTACGTGGGAATTATTATTATTACTCATTCCCTCCTGTGCTCCTCACCCCCTTTGTGGTAATTCACAGAGTCACTGCATACCCAGACTCGCTGCCTTGCCCAGTTCTGAACTTTGGTTCAGTTGGGTGCTGGGTGCATCTTTGCCAACACAACCCCGATTGAGCTGGTACAAAAAAATGCAAATGATTTTGTAATGTGCGATGCCCTTGGTTCTTTGGTACATTTTAGTTAAGGTTGTGCACTATAAATGAGCTGGCTGTCAGAGTTTACTGGCCTTGACACAACTGATGGAAACAGATCCAAACGTTGGGACACCACTTACAGAACTAATTGTGCTGCCCTTTGAGCTGTACTTTACCTTTCACGGTTTACAGTGAAACAGTAGTCCCTTTTAATGATCAAGGGATAGAGGGCTTCATATGACTTGTTGTAAAAGCAATTATTTGAGGTGACAGCAACTCTGATTTCAGCTTCATCTAAGGGTGTCCTTTCTTTTTCTTTTTCTAAAGATTGTGTTTATTTATTCATGAGAGACACAGCATGAGAGGGAGAGACATAGGCAGAGGGAGAAGTAAGTTCCCTCTGGGGAGCCTGATGTGGGACTGGATCCCAGGAACCTGGGATCATGCCCTTGGCCAAAGACAGATAGATGCTCAATCACTGGGCCACCCAGATATCTCTAAGGGTGTTCTTTCTAAAAATTCAAATTATCCAATGTTGGAATGGAGCTTTCTGGTAGGTAGTAAGCACCCCATCCCTGGAAGTGTTTAAGCACAGACTACATGGCCACATGTCACAAACTCTCTAGAGGCTCTTCCCAATCTCAAGGTCTCTGTACCAAGTCTCAGACTAACAAGATTGCAGTGATTCTGATTACGGAGGCTCACCATTCACTTCCAGCTTTAATTCGTTTGGTCAACTCTCTCTCTTTCCATGATTTACTTGGGCATTTGCCAAGCAACAGCACTCTTGAGGTGGTTCTGCCCTTTTTATTTTATGGCGACAGTGACTCAGAAATAGGTGACGGCCAGAAGTAGGGAAAGCAGGGAGGTGCTGAGGCTCAGTCCTCAGCCACGCAGCCCAGCTCTGGTGCAGCGGGTGGTTTGACATGAGCGAGGTCCCTCAATCCAAAACCTTAGGCTGCTTATCGGACAGTTTTAAAGCATAACCAGTACCTACCTCCCAGGGCTGCTGAAAAGGTGAAGAAAACAGCTATGGAGGATTTAGTGCAAGGCACTTCTAGTGAAGACAATTATGAAGATTCAGTATTTGTTGGCCGTGGTGGTTTTGGTTACTCACCTGGGTTGTCTGTTTTCAATTAGTCAGCAGATCTGTCACTCGTCTGCCACAGATGGATGATGGATTTGATTTTGAGACTTTTGCTAATTATTAGCATTAAAAAAAAAGATGAGTAAGTATAATCATGATTGCGATTTCCATCCTTCTACCTAGAGTACCTTCATTTCTGTAATTCTCTTAATGAAGTTATTTTTAAGAATGGCTTTATTTATTTTAAGATTTTATGTATTTATTCATGAAAGACAAAGAGAGAGAAGCAGAGACACAGGCAGAGGGAGAAGCAGGCTCCCCAAGGGGACCCCAATGTGGGACTCGATCCCAGGACCCCGGGATCATGACCTGAGCCAAAGGCAGACATCCCATGTCTTTAAATAAATTTTGAATTTGCCACTTTTTAAGAGGATAGCCAGTTTAAAGGTCTTTAAACAGCTCCTAATTTCAGTGTGCCTCCCCTAAATTCCAATTTTAAAAGCCTGTGTTCCCTACAGCCTCCCATTCTTACCATTGTCATTGGGAAGCTTGTTCTATTTATCTGTCCAAGAATGTTTGGACTTAAACATTTTTCAGATTTTTGTTTTGTTTACAGAGCGCTGATTCACACAAAAGTGGTAGCTGCCGTCTAACATATGAATTATGCTTGCGCGTGCGGCTCTCCTTTCCCATTGAGACAGAAACGATCCCAGGGAGCGAAGAGCAAAGATAAGCTGAGAACGGAGTTGCGATCTTAGTTTGTGCAGGTGCTGTTTTGTTAATGTGCTGGTGCACGGGCATTGTATTTTTTGCACACACAGTAATAGTCAATTTTTTTTTTTAAGAACATGCATTGCAGTGTTCAGCTCATTACAAGTCATGACAAAGCCCTATTGGAACCAAAGAGAGGACTTACGCTCTTTATATACTAAGAAGCTGTTCCCATTGTAACTCAAAGAATTTTAGTTCAGGAAATATCAACTGGCAATTTGCTTTGTGGGTTGTTTACAGACCAGCCACTTTTGCCTTACATTTCTTATGTGCAGTACTGAGACAAGTCTCACCCTTTGAGATTAGTCTCCTCAAATGTGTTTTAAAGATAAAAATCACACTAGGCCCCAACTGGATCTTTATGTCACGAAACTGCCCCTTATTCCTCTCTCCCTCTCTTCCTCCAATTCAGAGCTAAAACAAACCACTTCATAAGAACCTCATAAATTTTTCCCTCTGTGCACTTCAGTTAAAAGACCCTCCTGTGCTGTGCATTCCGCTCTGTGGGGACCCTGTGTCACAATCCGCTTGTTGGGAGATTAAAGTGGAACATTCGCAGCTCACAGATAGCCTGATGTGTCCCTGTAATGCATCTAGCGGGCCTTCTGAGTGCACTCACTTTCAAAAGGCTAAGGGGAAAGGGACATTTTATCACAATACATAATACATTCAAATTTCGATACAGTTTGTAGAATCAAAAGTAATTATACCTTCCACAGATTAATGGCTTGGGAGCTTTCTCTGAGGCCACCGCCACATTAGAAACTGTCAAGCTCTCTTTTTTGGCATGGAGTAATTCAGTCTCTTCTTCCAATCAGAAAATTTCTAACTTGATTTGTCAATAGTGAATATGATTTCTTGATCTTTTAAAACATTACAGTTGACAAAACATGATACACACCTGACTCTGGGAAAAGAACAAGGGGTAGTGGTAGGGGAGGTGGGCGGGGGGGTGGGGTGGGGTGACTGGGTGATGGGCATTGAGGGGGGCACTTGGCGGATGAGCACTGGGTGTTATGCTATATGGTGGCAAATTGAACTCCAATAAAAAGAAATTTAAAAACAAAACAAACATTACAGTATATGCAGTTCTTTTCTGGGCTCCTCTGTCTTCTCCCCTTTTTTGGAGCTCAGTCTTGTCCTCAGCTAAGCTGCTTTGTACCTGTTCACTTTGAGCGACAGCTTAGTTTTCTCTCATTATCATTCTTCAATAACAATTCACATCCTTTACCAAGTAATCTTTGCCAAGAATCCACAAAACGGTGGAGTAGGTATCAAGGGCAGGAGAAGCTTTAAGAAATCACCTGCATTTAGTGGTGGCCCCTACTTTTTATAGAATAGGAATCTGAAATTCATCCAAGAGCACACATTTGCAATGTGCTATATTTTATCTAGTCTCTGACACCAAAGATTTATAAAATATACCATTGCTTCATGGAACCATAAGACCGAAAAAGAAACATTGCTGATTTAAATTATGAATTCACTTTGCCAGTGAAACACATCCGGATCTCAGAGAGATTGCAAGTGTCAGACTACTGCATGAACACAAACATATCTCTCATTTGTGGAATGTATAATTTGTACTCTTGTTTTTCATAAATAGAACAAATATTGTGGGGAATAGGCACATGTCTCCTTCTAAAGAGAAATCAAGATAGCTGTTGAGGTTGGGGAGAGGGCAGCCCCCAGAAGAGGAAAGGGAAGATGGGAGTACCAAGATTTAAAACATTCTTTGGCTAGAGGCCGTCCTAAAATTAGAAACTGAGGGGGGCACTTGACGGGATGAGCACTGGGTGATATGCTATATGTTGGCAAATTGAACGCCAATAAAAAAATAATAATTAAAAAAAAAAAGAAACCTATTACTTATGCCCCTGCGAGGCACAAGTTTCCAATATCCTCATCTGATTACAGATATTTCTTTCTCTGCAGCTTGTGGTTCTTTTTTTCTTATTTTTTTCTTTCTTCCTCTCCTCCTCCTTCTACTTCTTCTATTTTGCAAGGCACTACCTAAATGATAGCCATTGTGCGAAGCTCCTAAGCCTTTAAGACAGCCACACGGGTGGCTGCTCCCGTGTTCCCCACTGCTGATAGCTATGCCCTTAACCACCTGGGAGAGGAGTGCGTCTGGGAGCTGTCTTTTCTGCCCCCTCAGGGCTTGACTTGATTGTCTCCAGCAAACCAGAGCCACCTCTGGGGCTCTGGAGAGTGATGCTAGCTTCTTCTCAGGGAATAGCTGGATCCTTGGCCTAAGAACGACAGATACTTATTAGAAATAAACAGGCTGAGAACCTCAAAACTAATGACATGGCTGCTGTAAAAAAAAGTTATTTATTTATTTGACAGAAGGAGAGAAAGCATAAGCAGGGGGAGCAGGCAGGCAGAGGGAGACCTCAGAGGGTCTCCGCTGAGCAGAGAGCCCGATGCGGGGCTCAGTCCCAGAGCCCTGAGATCGTGACAGGAGCCAAAGGCAGATGCTTAACCAACTGAGCCACCCAGGTGCCCCTGGCTTTTGTTTTGAAGTATGTACCCAATGGCAAAGTCTGAGTGTAAAATAAAAACAATGTGATCATTTGCACTTGATACTTCCTCCCTAGACCATGTGTTGTCTGTAGGTACAGCCTTTGAGGAGATCTGGTGTTTGTCTTTCAGGTGCTATTTGATTACTAACTTGCTTTAAAATTTTTCTTTCCTTATATAGATGATGACTTTTGCCCGGAGATGAAATGTAACGTTCCAGTCTCCAATGAAAAGGAAAGATGTGGTATGTGTGTCAACACAAGTCTCAGAAATCACCAGCATTTAGTTAACATCTTGCTTTTGTTACTCAATATTTTTCATTCTATTCAAAATACCACAAAATTAAGATAATAGATTCACGAAACTGATTCAGAGATATTAATTACTTCTTAGCTTGTTTCCAGACTTATTACAATTCATTACTTTCTCCTGATGTGGTTAATGTTGTCATACTTTGGAGCTGGTATGCTGTGCCATTATCAATTTTTATAAAGCTCCACTTACACGATTATATCACTTTGATTTTTAAAATGTCTTCATTTATTTCCTGGAAGTTATTGAGCTGACATAAAAAAAAAAGCCATTCTCTAATGGGAGTGAATTTTCATAAGCTATTTCCATCAAATCTCATCCTCAGATGCCGCATTTGGCCCCGTGTCAGGCATTCGATTTCTTTGTTGGCGTTGTCTTTCTTATATGAGTGTTTGCAGGTAATCCTCGTGCCAGTTAACGGTCTAATAAATTATATTGAGTGCATTACAGATTGTAATATATTATACGTATTGTTGATTGTTTTCATAAATGTTTTCCAACCAAAATCTGAGACAGTAGAAGCAAGTGTTTTAAAGCAAAGTCTATAGATCACAAAGCAAAAAAAAAAAAAAAAAAAAAACTGGACGGTTTTCCTATTACACTGTGAGGCAATCGCTGCATAATCTCTACCAAAAGATCCCCTTGGGCAATGGAATTTAATCTCTTAGGAGGGACATCCGCAGGATTGTCAGCTCCCTCCTTGCTCTGAGCTGCGTTGGTTGGCCAGTTTGCTGGCTGCTTGTCTGTTGACTCTCAGGTCCGTTCCCAGGCATCTGTGTTCTTTTACAAGCAGGGTGGAAGTCTGCAAACTTTATTTAACAGACTCCCTTACCACGCGGCTTCCTTCTGTTCTTCTAGCAGGAGGCCTTAGCAGGAGATTGGAAGGTGGGAATAAGAGAGAGGACATTTTCTCTCCTTTTTTTGCTTCAGGCGGCTCTTCTGGTGGCAGCAGCCAAAGAATGAGCTTAATCCCCTGGTCTTGGAGAGAAGTGGCAGTGGCAGTGGCTTCCCCAGCAGCGGGAGATTATCCAGCAGGTGCCACAGCAGTGACCATGGGCTCTTGGATAGTACTTTTTCTTTTCCTCCTGCCAGTGGAGTGGAAGTGCTGTCTTGTATATTCAAACCCTCCTGCCTTAGTCCTTTAACCTCTCCAATATTTAGTGACCAATTTCCTGTCCTGTTAGCTCCATTTGAAATTCTTAAAGTTGTTTCTGTTTTCCTGACTGAGCCCTGACCAGTGAATTTTGTAAAACCATGCAGAATCTGAGAATACAGATGGGAAATACCCAAACGGGGACTCACGGGACTTTGATCGTGCATACAGGTCTCAGTGAGCAAATATTATTAAACTTCCATTGGCAACATGTTGTACTAAGTTCTAACAAGGAACAGAGAGTATAAGAGTATAAAGATTGTATATTCAGGCTACAGAGGCTGCTAATTTATGATGCAAGAATTTTGTTCAGACTCTAATCATTTATCTTTATTCTGTTCATATAAACAGATGGTAAAAATAAACAGCTGACATGTCTCATCTCTTCCCTATTAGCCTGGCACTCCGGTTATGGTCCCTCCCCATTTCCCACCATCATATTCCATCAAATACATTAAAACTCATGGAAAGCAGGACTCTGATGACACGAAGCCCCTTCCTACTTCCCTCATTGTACTGTAGCTGCAGATTCTGGAAAGCTATCTTTTCTGGTCATCTCTGTTCTGTTAGAAGAATCCCAAATAGATAAAGCATCCATCACTCCAATCTGTTATGGAAATTTTTGTAACATCTCTATTTCAAGTTTGACTTTTTATTGCAACTCCTCCCTTGGGTTGAAGGTGGTGGTTATATGAGTCACAGGCACACAGTGTACTCAAAACACTCTCCCCCTAGACTGGCTCTTTGCTTAAATGTCTCAGCGTGTTCTCCCTCAAGATGCCTTCTTACCAAAGAGCCTTCTTAGATCTTACCTTGTCCCTCCCACATCCCCACCAAATCAAATGTGTCGGCATCCTGTAGTGAGTTCAACCTAGGCCCAAGCTGGACCCTTAGCTATATAAAATATTCTCCATTCATCAAAGAGTTCAAGTTTCCATGGCATTGTCTGTGCCTATGTTGGGCACCATTGTTTGCGATTTGGATCAATTGATTTCTCTGTGCCTGAATTTCCTTACCATGTTTTTTTTTTTTAAGATTTTATTTATTGATTCATCACACACACACACACACACACACACACACACACACACATAGAGGCAGAGACATAGGCAGAGGGAGAAGTAGGCTCCATGCCGGGAGCCTGATGTGGGACTCGATTCCAGGACCCTGGGATCAAGACCTGAGCCAAAGGCAGATGCTCAACCACTGAGCCACCCAGGCATCCCTCCTGACCATGTTTAAAAGAACAAAGACAAGAACGAGGAGAAATATCCGTGGAATGGTGCCAGTCCACTCCTGATAGCATTTGATTTCAAAATACTTTCTGTAAATACTTGCTACATAAATGCTTTAATTAATGATAATAAGATTCCTTTCACGGTTTTGCTTCAATAACATGGAGTCTCAATGCCCCGTGGTCCCATTTCCTCATCTGTTTCTTCGAAGTCACCTAATATCATAGTGGCATGGGATTCAAGCCCCTTTAGTGTTAATTTAAGGAAACAATTATTTTGACTAACCTTGCAAGCTTCTAGCTCTTTTAATTTGCAAACCAAGGTTAAAGAGATTCTTACTAAAAGTCACGTCAAGTAATGTTTAAAAGTAAAACACCCTCAGCTTTTTTTAAGGTTATATAGTACTAAGTAAAGTTTAACTAGGAAAGATTAATATTAAGTAATGAACATGTACTGTCCATGTACTCTCTCCTGTGCTGATTATTCAGGAATCATTCTTTGCTCTTAACTAAAGTGTGCCTGTGTGTTTGTGTGTGTTGTGGGTTAAAGTCCCATTTTTTATGTCATTCACTCATGTGTGCCAGTGGGGACTTTTGAGGGATCACAATGCAGGGATCAGAGAAACTGGAAAAGAAGCTCATTTTTTTCCAACCATTTTATTGTTGCTTTTGTGCCTGCAAGTGCAGCCTGTATAATAGCACAGGGCTTTAGGGTGAGGCTCACTGCAATACCTTTCTCTTCTATTCTAAGTCCGTCTCAGGGTTAATCATTTCCTCCTAGGAGGTGATGCTATAATAAAGATAATTAAATTGAAATTTAATATAGTGGGGCTTGCACTATAGCTTTATATCAGTTGAGGGTTCTGAGAGAAACCAGCACTGTGAGGGTGGAGTGTATGCTACGTAATTAACAATTACGTTTGTCAGGTTTATGAAACAGAAAATTAATAACACGGAGACTGTGAAACAGTGAACAAAGCTGAAATTCTGAATTAAGGTGACTGGGCTGTCATTTACCCTTGTAGCAATGGGTGTCTTTCTCTTTTGGTGATAGAACATTGGATCGTGTTGATTTACTCATATGTAACTCCTCTCACTCCTAGCCTTGGTTTTTGTTTTTGTTTTCCTCCAAAGAGCAGTGATTCTCAATCTTGGCTGTGCATCACTTGAGGGAGTTTTTAAAAAATCCTCATACCCAGGCTCACCCCAGACCAATCAAAGCAAAACCTCTGGGGGTTGGCCCCAGGCACCGGTATTTTGAAAAATTCTCCAGGGGATCCAAAGTGTTTGGATCACATTCATCAGTGTTTAGTGTGTCCTGTTTCTCTAGAGGAAGGTGTTAGGCTAAAAGAAAAAAGGGAAGAAAAGAATAGGAATGAATTATTGCATATAATTAAGTGTTCAAGGACTGTATTCACCTTGACAAAAAGTGGCAAAGGCGTTATTAAGACTGAATGGCCCTTGCTAATGTTTAGATACCTGTGCTTCCTGGGAGAGAAGCTCTGAGAAATCTCAACCCCTCCCTACCCTTCACTCCCTGGCCCCCCAGAAGCCATGAGTGTTTGGGTTTTTTGTTTGTTTGTTTGTTTTTAAGATTTTATTTATTTATTGATAAGAGACACAGAGAGAAGCAGAGAAAAAGGCAGAGGGAGAAGCAGGCTCCCTGCAGGGACTCGATCCCAGGACCCTGGGATCACAAGCTGAGCCAAAGGCAGATGCTCAACCACTGAGGCACCCAGGTGCCCAGCCATGAATGTTTTAAGGTTTCTGAGTGAGGCCAAGAATCTCCCAAATTATTGTGGACAAATGCTGGCTCCTCCCTTGCTTCTCAGGTCTCGGGTAAGCTCTCTGGCAGAATGAGGGGGAAACATGGCCAGAGTGATAATCCCTTAACTGCGAAACAAACATGGATGCTTGGCAAATCCACATTTTAACCATGCCTTAGGGCGGAGAGGCAGCACATGGGGATCTCCTTGGAAAGTGAGTGCTTCTAACATCAAATTAGGCAATTCTTTTTTTTTTTAAGATTTTATTTTTTTTATTCATGAGAGACACAGAAAGGCAGAGACATAGGAAGAGGGAGAAGCAGTCTCCATGCAAGGAGCCTGATGTGGGACTCGATCCCAGGACCCTGGGATCATGACCTGATCCAAAGGCAGATGCTCAACCACTGAGCCACCAACGCATCCCCAAATTAGACAATTCTTGCCCTGAGGTGTAGGGTGAAAGGCTGATTTATACACACACACACACACACACACACACATGTAACACACAAGTACAAAATAATCCTGGATAAATAGTTTTTCTTCATTGTTCTCTTTAATTAGTTGTCCTCTAGAGAAGATTAGGAGTGAGTTTATTATTTATTTATGTGCCTAATTTTTCTGTGGTAAAAGATGTATTTTGAAGCTACTCTTCATGCTCTTATTGAGAATGTCTAAATTTGACAACAGTAGCAAACTGTCTAAATATGCTTGCAAAGACTAATTACTAATTGAATTTTGCCTCTTTTCTAGGACTGGAGCATACCCTGTACTTAAGA